GAGAGGAGGGGAGAGAGGAGGAGGAGGAGGGAGAGAGAGGAGGGGAGAGAGGAGGAGGAGGAGGGAGAGAGAAGAGGAGGAGGAGGAGGGAGAGAGAAGAGGAGAAGGAGGAGGGAGAGAGGAGGAGAAGGAAGGGAGAGAGAGGAGGAGAAGGAAGGGAGAGAGAAGAGGAGAAGGAGGGGAGAGAGGAGGAGGAGGAGGGAGAGAGAGGAGGGGAGAGAGGAGGAGGAGGAGGGAGAGAGAAGAGGAGAAGGAGGAGGGAGAGAGAAGGGAGAAGGAGGAGGGAGAGAGAGGAGGGAGAGAGGAGGAGAAGGAGGGGAGAGAGGAGGAGGAGGAGGGAGAGAGAGGAGGGGAGAGAGGAGGAGGAGGAGGGAGAGAGAAGAGGAGAAGGAGGAGGGAGAGAGGAGGGAGAGAGAAGAGGAGAAGGAGGAGAGAGAAGAGGAGAAGGAGGAGGGAGAGAGAAGAGGAGAAGGAGGAGAGAGAAGAGGAGAAGGAGGAGGGAGAGAGCAGGAGAAGGAGGAGGGACAGAGAAGAGGAGAAGGAGGGAGAGAGAAGAGGAGAAGGAGGGAGAGAGAAGAGGAGAAGGAGGGGAGAGAGAAGGAGGAGGAGGGAGAGCAAGAGGAGGAGGTAAAGAGAATAAGAGGAGCTGTGTTTCAGAGAACTGGAAGGCTCGGAACAGAAAACATGACGTAAACGGACTGAAGTGAAAATGCAGAGATGAGATGATGGATTCACTATTTTTTATTTCTTTCTGGACCGATGGTTCTGGTCCTGGTTCTGGTCCTGATCCTGGTCTGCACTAAAATGATGTCACTCTCCCCTCTGCTGGAGAAACACTGCACTACATCACCACTGAGTCTGAAGCCCCTCAGGACCCTCAGGTCCAGGAGATCAGGACCATCAGGACCAGGAGCTTAGGCCCCTCAGGACCCTCAGGACCCTCAGGTCCAGGAGATCAGGACCAGGAGCTCAGGCCCCTCAGGACCAGGAGCTCAGGCCCCTCAGGCCCCTCAGGTCCCTCAGGTCCCTCAGGTCCAGGAGATCAGGACCCTCAGGACCAGGAGCTCAGGCCCCTCAGGTCCCTCAGGACCAGGAGCTCAGGCCCCTCAGGCCCCTCAGGCCCCTCAGGTCCCTCAGCTCAGCAGAGGACGCCAACATTAGCCAAGGCTTTTTTATCGTCTACAAAATTCCCCAAAAATGAATAAAATATAAGTCAAATATCCCCCTAAAAAATGCTAAAAATATATTTGTACAATATCCCCCAGAAAATGCAATATTTTTTTTAAATATCCCCCAAAAAGTACTAAATATGCAAAAAATATTAGTACAATTTACCCAGAAAATGAATTAATATGCATAACATGAAAATATATTAATAAAATATCCAAATCTACATATAAAGTGTGCAAACAATATTACTAAAAAATCCCCATAAGATGAATAAATATGCAGAAAATAAGTAAAATATCCCAAAACTACATATAAAGTATTATAAAGTATACAAAAAAATATCCCCTAAAATGAATAAATGTGCAGAAAATGAGTAAAATATCCCCCTAAAATCTGCTAAAATATATTTGCACAAATATGCAAAACTATTCCCCAAAAAATGCAAATATAAATTGTAAAATATTCCCTAAAAATTACTAAATATGCAAAAACTATTAGTAAAATATCCAGAGAAAATTAATAAATCTGCAGAAAATGAGTGAAATATCCCCCTAAAATATGCTAAAAACATATTTGTAAAATATCCCCCAAAAATGAATAAAACCTCTGAAAGATATTTGTAAAACATGCACCAGTCACTACATTTACTGGTTTAATTGTGCTGCACCAGAGTTCATTCATTACAATCAGCTCCATGTAATAATCTGCACTGTGTGTCTGCGGCCAGCAGGGGGCGCAGTCAGCGAACATGAGAACCAGACCAGGCCGAACTCTTCAGCGTCTGAAGAACCAACATGTCTTTGGATTCAGACTTTCTGCTGCTGCTCACTTATTTTATTTTTATAATCTTATTTACAGGACGGCGCTTGTTTGTTTGTTTGGAGGTATTTCTTGCTTTTTGTTTTTGGTGTATGTTGGTGTGGTTTTTTCAAATAATTTAATTGTGTTCTTGCGTGAGGAGAATAAAGTAGGGAGGAGAAACATGAGTGGAACACAGTTTATCTGTTGGAGGAAAAGCTGCCTCACTGGTTTTATTTGACTCTTCTTGTTTCTGGTTTTGTGTTTCATCTGATTAACCAGAGCAGTTATTTTCTTTGATCCGTGATGATTTAATACACTTTAGATTTTATTCAGTAAAATATTATTGACCTCAGTCCTGCATCCCCGACCAACCAGAGAAAAACACTAATTCTACTTCACACGTCTGTCAAACTGGACAGAAACTAAGTAAAATGCAGCAAAACCTCCTTTGTTAGTCTTCCGTTCCGACAATCACCGGCTCTGGTTGTGATATGAAGGCATAGATTTAATAAACGGGTGTCGTCCTGCATGAATACAGCAGCTGGTTATTCGTGTTTAGACGTTTCTACTGAATGCAGGATTTTGACACCAGTTCAACCAGTTCAACCAGTTTCCACTTCCCTGTCTGTTACAGTTGATGCTCTGTCTCCTGTGAACAGGAGGGACAGACTCTTACAGTGACAGTCGAGGACGTTAATCTGGGCTCCACGTTCCGGTAAAACAATCCCATCATGCTTTGCAGAAACTCTGAACGTGACTTTATTAACATCGTCTGACGACACGTCGCAGTGTCAGACGCGGGACAGGAAGTGTCACCTGGCTGAGGGCGAGATTTACATTCTGCTTTTTAGGATTGTAGGTTACAAACATCTGACAGCTCAGTTTGTGTTTGCGTCTCGTGTTTCATGTGTTTTTATCTGACATGATGTGATAAAAAAAACACGCGTTGACTTTCTTTCTGTTTGTTTTCTTTTGTCTCTGTTGGCAAATCCCAAAACATATTAGTAAAATATCCCAAAACTACTTTTTTACTGAGTGTGCAAAAAATATAAGTTAAATATGCCAAAACATTTTAAATAATATGCAAAAACTGTTAGTAAAACAAGCCAAAAGAAATAAAGTATGCCAAAATATTAGTAAAATAAGACAAAACAGTTTATCAAATATGCAAAATATTAGTAACAAATGAATAAAATATGCAAAAAAATTTAGTTTAAATATCCCAAAAACAATTAATTAAAATGTGCAAAGAAATGTTGTTTTTATAAAATGCAAACAACTATAACTGAAATCTTACCCCAAAATAAAAAAATTATACAAAAACTATCCTTCTGTAGGTGATGTGAGTCCATGTGGTCCCCTTTTCTTTCATTCATTCATTCAGAACAAAGACATTCACTGCAAAAGTGAATTATTAACTTAATGTTGAATGCTCTAGAGCGCGTTTCTTTTCTTGTTTCCAACCCATTTTCTCTCGTCTATGTAGTTTTAATGTCATGTTGATTTATGGTTGTACATATTTAATCTTTTTTCAATAAAAGATGTTCTTGTTCTGATATTGATCAGCGCTGAGGTGAAACTGCAGATTATTTCTGTTTCAGTTCATTTATTTTGCAGTTTATTTCCAAGCATTCTTCTTTAAACCAGGGCAAAGTTGAAACATGGACATAATCAACTAATTCTACACGGCAGAAAAGTCGTGTGTTCAAATTCCAACTGAAACAAGGAAGGACCAGAACCTGAAAACAGCCTTTTCAGGTAAATCTGAACAAATTTGGAAATTAAATCTTCTTAACTTGAAATGGAAAGCAGTATAAATGTAGTTAAGTTGTTTTAACTTGAAACTGTGAGTTAGAATACTGCAGTATGTCTGTTAGTCTGGAAGTTTTTGTTGCATTCACAAAGTAAAATAGGTTTTTGTGTGAAGGTAAAAGTTATAAAGCGTTCAATCAACTTAAAAAAGCAACTAGAACTCTGGAGTTACATCAACAAAGGCAATCTTCAGTTAACTTGGACTAACTACAAATATCTTAGTGTAGAAGTAGAAAATGCAAATACTGAAGTAAAGTACAGGTACTTCAGCAAATGTACTACTGAGTTACCTTCAGTGGGGAACGAAGTATTAAGATCCTTTACTTAAGTACCAGACTGTAAAAATACTGTTAGCAGTAAAAGTACTGCATTGAACATGTTACTTACGTTAAAGTATGTAAGTATAATCAGGAAAATGTACTTAAATTATTAAAAGTAAAAGAACTAAAAGCAGAAAAACGTTCCGTGTGACTGTTTTACTGTTTTATATTATGTGAGTATTATTCCTCCTGTAAAAGCAGGACTTTGTATCAGACTGCAGTTAATTATTATTTTCATTAGGAATTCATCTGCTGAGCATTTTCTCCATGAAAAATAAAAATCTGAAAATATTGAGACATGCTGTCAGTTACCCAGAGCCCAACGAGACTCCTCCATAATGTAAAACTAAATAAATATATATAATAATAATAAATAAAACGAATTAAAATGAAAAGCAGCACGTGTGAAATATGAAATGTTTTTACATGAAAAATGACTTAAACCATCAAAATAGTTGCCAAATTATTGTCTATTGATCTAAAAGTTGTGTCAACTGTACTTGTGTAAAAAGTTGGAGTTTAATTTATAACAAAACGTCATATTTTATAAAGTCTGCGTGTGTTTTGTGTTTGAAAAGCTGTCAGAGAAATGTCCAGTATCTCCCTCTGAGATGGAGCAGGAGGAGAAAGAGGCGTGAAAAGAAAGTACTCCAGTAAAGTTCAAGTACCTGTAATCTGTACTAGAGTAAATGTACTTGTTAGTGTCGGCTGGTTCCACCTGCGTCCTGCAGGTGTGATGATGCTGCTGCTGCTGCTGCTTCTCTGTGCGGACAGTTTTTGAAGCCCTGCCTGCGGGTTGAGCTTCACGCAAAGCTGGAGGAGGTGACGTAGGGCCGTGTGGATGACGTCAGCCCTCTGTGTCTCGGGGTGTGTTTGTTTGTGAGAGGAAGAGGCTGGTTGGATGTTGGGCGGGGTCTGGGGAGACAGAGAGAGACAGAGAGCTGAAAAACCTCCAGACTCTCCTGCTGCTGCTGCTGCTGCTGCACGGACAAAAGGAGAAGAAGAAGGAGAAGGACGGAGAGACAGAGACACGCAGAGACAGAAGGACAGAGAGACAGAAGGACAGGGAGACAGGGAGACGGGCAGAGAGCGCGGAGGACAGACGGACGGGGATCCGGGGAGGATGGGCCGGCGGAGCGGCCGTCGGTAGCGCTCTGTTTTCGGGCACGGAGCTCCAGGATGAGCGTAGCGCTGCAGGACCTCCGGCACACCGTGAGTACACGCGCACGCACATTCCCGCAACATGCATGCGCCCGGACGCGTGACACGCAGCCCACGCGCTCCTCCTCCGTGTGTCGGTCTGTCCCGTGTCTGTGCAGCAGCTGCCGGCTGATCATCTGTCAATCACTGTGATTGGTTGGCTGCTGTAGCCTGTTGATCATCGACACGCTGCTCTGATTGATCCAGCTATAAGAAAGTATGTCTGCAGACAGGTGTGCGTGTGTGCGTGCGTGTGTGCGCGCGCGTGTGTGTGTGTTTGGGCCTGCTGACGTCACTGATCAAACGGATCGATACCATGCACAGATCGGGTAAACACGGAGACACGCGACAATTAATGTAGTCATTGAGTTTTTTATTCTTTTTGGTTTGAGATGTTTTGAACCACAGAAGAAGAAGAGACTTCCTGTTCTTCTTCTTCTTCAGCTGCAGATTTGATTTAAGTCATTAATCAATCAGTGACAAAAATAAAAAGAACAGTAATAAACATCCGTGCTTTACATGTTGAACCAGGACTGAGACGTGTCTAAAAATACCAGCAATAATATAAAAACCAAAATATTAATAATAAAACAAAAAAGCCGTGTTGGAAATAAAAACGATTTAAAACAACTTCATGTAAGATTTGTCTTCTGGCGCCCCCTACGGTCTCAGAGTGCAACACCAGACGCAGCGACATCACTGACGCTCGCCGTCTGGCCCGCGGCCTTTTATTTCCCGCCAACGTCCTGCAGCCTCTCGCTCGGCCTCTCTCTCTCTTTTCCTCTTCTGAGCCTCCTCCGTCAGCGTCCTCTTCGGTCAGCCGTTAGCTAACCTTACGTCCACAGAGGCTGCTGAGCCCGGTTATGTTGCCCGCTCAAAACCGGCAGCAGCATCATGTTGCTTTGAAACTCGGGTGGCGAGCTAGCAAACAAAGCTAGACAACAGTTAGACGCAGGAGCACTAACGGTAACGTTACTGAGAGTGTCCCGCACCTGGGTATAAACATCGAAGCGGCTCCTGTCTGTGAAACCTGGCTGATTTCAACAGCTTTGCCGGACCAGCAGAGCGAAGCCCAGCTCGCCGTCTGTCCCGCAGACTTTCAGCTCTTTAGCTCAACGAGTTAAAGCCGCTCTGATGTTCTTCTCCGGTCTCTTCAGCCTCTGCCGTCAGATCCAGAACACCAAACAACTCACCTTGTACATTTGGAACTTGTTGCCTCTTCTTCTTAAAGCTCGCTGAAGAGTCGCGTTACGTTGTCGTGATAAATGTGGGAGTATTCACCTCAGTGTAGAAATACTGCATTGAAAATATTACTGAAATATAAGTATTTATGTAAAAGTGCAGAATGAAAACTGTCGCCTCTGACTGTTAATCGGAAGGTCGGCGGTTCAATCCCCGACTCCTCCAGGCTGCGTGTCAAAGTGTCCTTGGGCCTGATACTGAACCCTGACCCGCCTCTGGCAGCTGTTCCACCAGGGTGTGAACGTGTTTGACTGGTGAATGCAAATGTAGTGTAAAAACACTAGAAAGGCGCCATACAAGTACGGAGCGTTTATAATATTATATCATTAGATTATTTGCATTCATGTAAAAGCAGTTTTTACTGTTACAGCTGGTTGATAGAGTGCAGTTATAGAATAATCCACTGATTATTTTCTCCATTAATTGTAAAAATAGTGAGAACTGTTGTCACAGTGACTCCTTCATAATGTTTGTTCTGTCACTCCAAATTAGGGATGTACCGAAATTAATCGGCCAGAAAAAGCACTTTCGGTGTTCGGCCTAATTCATCAAAGGACCGAATAAACTTTACCCAACAATCACGCTGACACGTCGGCAGTGTGGAAGCATTTTAAAGTGTTCTGCTGAACTGTTTCCAGCACATCTGCTCCATCTGTGGCAAAAGAAAAGAAACGCTTTGAGTGTTTCTGACTCTCGTCTGTGAGAAGGAGATTAAACTAGCCACGCCTACATTTAGAGTGCACACGTATTCCAGCCTTTACGGTAAGTGAAGCGGCCCAGAGCGAGCTGACAGGCAGGTTAGAGACTTTATCCTGTCAGTTTGTCTCTTTAGTATGAAGAGAGGCTGTGAAGTCTTCATGTTACAACATTATTTATCAAACCGGGTCGGACTGGATGGATTTAGCGCGACGAGGAAACACATGTGACAACGTCCGGTTTTCAAAATAAGGCGTCTGTACAGGATGGAAATAAGAATAACTGGATTATATTCACAGAAAGTATAAAAAATGTTGCATGTGTCCGTTAAAAGTAAATGGACTCATGTAATTTACTTTACTTTCCACAGTCTCTGCACATCCTGCAGGAAACACTGAGGAAAAAGCACATTTTGACTATTCATGCAGTGGGAAAAATAAATGTAAATGCTCGGTATTCGGGGAAGTTTTTCAGTATTTTCAGTGCGTCCCCAGTCCAAACCTCAAAATGATTAAAAACACATTAAAATAATCAAAATTCAAAGCAGCAAATCTTCACATGAAATGTTTTTAACATGAAAAATGTGTAAAAATCTGACTCGGATAAATGTAGTGAACTAAAAAGTACGAAATCTCCCACTGAGATGGAGCAGAAGGAGAAACTGACGCGAAAAGAAAATACTCAAGTAAAGTACAAGTACCTCAAATTTAAGTACAGTACCTGAGTAAATGTACTTAGTTAGTGCTTCCACTGTGAGACTCCTTCCACCCTGTTATAAGTCAGCGTAGCATCAAAGTGATTTTTCTGATTCATTTGCTGTAAATGTTTAGTGACAGGAGCCTGTTTTCTGTTGGTGGTGATAAAACTAACGAACAGCTGCTCACGGCGACATCATCAACAGCATCCTGTCATTATCGTGATCACCGTCCTCTTCGTGGGAACATCATCTTCATAATGAACCTCGTCGTGTTGTAATGTCTGAGAGCAGCGTTACCAGGAAGGAGGTTTATTGTTTTCACCAGAAGAAAGGAGCTGATTGGTCGTTCCTGTTCTCAGGTCTTCCAGTAACTGACACCAGCTCACCAGCCCTCCGATCCTAAACGTTTCTGTGTAAATTGTTCAGGTGGAATCAAATCAAACATCAACAAACCAACACATTTAAAAGTACAATGAAGCTTTCTGTGCCCCCGGGCTCGTCTCCTCAGGCAGTCTGCAGGAATGTGGATCAGTCTGACGAGGTCCCTGAACTCATCAGACCTGTTCTCTGTAAGGTTCAGCAGGAATACGTCCACGTCTGTTACTTCCTCATAACTTTCTTGGAGGTTTCTTGGAAAGAACTTGGTCATTAGCCCAAACTTCCTGCAAGGAACCCGCTCCATTCAAAACCCAAATAAAGATGAATTAATTTTGTTCAATTCATTTTCATTTGTTTGTTGTGTTCTTCCCTGTGGACGCATGTTTTTCTGATCAGCTGGCCTGCAGTGCTCTCATTAAAACGCTGAACATTGGCTCAGCTTCTACATCTACTGCTATTCTTTCAAGGAAATGATGCACGTGTAAAGTGTTCTGGTTAAAGGCGGTATGAGTGGCTTCTGTAAGGACGTTATTCACCTGAGCAGGTAATCCATTGACACATCTCATCATGTGATCAGTGTAATTATGACAGATATTAAATCTCTGGTGTGAAAAAGCTCCACAGGTCTTTTCCCCTTAGTATTTTTAAGGATGTTAAAGGACATTATTAACAGGGTCTGGTACCGTTCTAGTGTTCTGATTCTGAATCTACTTATCGAATCTGGTTCTTGACCTTCCTCCTCGTCCCCTTCATGTCTCTAAAGTGAAAGAAGTCTGTGTCGTAGAGGGGCGTCTCTGGGTCTCGTCTGATCTGTAGCCATCGTCAGTTTCCCTTCAGTATAAAAGGTGAACGTCGGCTCACCTGTGTTTAGTACCTGAGGCGTTGCTGCTGTTAGCGTTAGCTGGATCTGGGAGAGCGGTGAAGCGTTCCTTCAGATTCACGCCGTGTTGAAGGAAACGCTTTGTCACGTCGGAGCTGCTTCCTCCTTCGCACCCAACCTCCTGACTGCAGCTGAGTCAAACTTTGGAGGGTCCGCCACGGTCCAGGACCAGAACCAGAAGGACTCTCTTCTTCACGCTTTGTTGACGGAACACCAGTGGTGACGTTAGGTCGGCGTAGCAGCTGCTGGCAGATCAGAGACACTTTGACGGACAGTAAAATGCCAATTTTGGCCAATCAGAAGACAGCGGGCTTTGAGAGGGGGGGCCTTAAAGAGACAGGAGCATCTACATCAGGAGTATTCAGTTAGAATTCACAGAGGTCCGGTTAGAGAAAATTTCCCGACGCAAAGGTCCGGAACATCAAAACGACTAACTTGCGTTTTCATTCAGTACCATAACGTGTAGTTGTATCAAAATATGTTTTTAGTCAACAACGGACTCTCAAATCAAATAATATTTCAGTCAGTTTTCACATCAAACTGGAGGGATAATAAATAACTAGTGAACTAAAATATTTTTAGAAAAAATGAAATAAAAAGTGTAGCTTGAAGTGATGAAGTTCAGTCTTAACCAATTTTATAATAAACACTCAACACATCAGAACAGCTGTAACGCCTCCTTCTCTTTCATTCCCTCTTACAGAACTACCACTTTCCTACTTTCTCTTGTTCAGTGAGAAACGTGAGCTCTAGTTTGTCCTGCCAGCTGCCATCGGAGAGATATGAGATATTCTGGCGTTGAACTGCCCGTGGGAGGAACGTACATGTAGGAATCTGTACATTCTTGATTAAAAGCCTCGTGAAATCTCTTTTCCCTTCCGTCTCCTCAATTGATGTGTGTTTCCAAAACGTCTCTGGTGAATCTCACAGACTCGACTCGCAAGCATCGGAATGCACAGATTTGATTGGCTGAGCAACGTCACATGAGACGATTGGAGCACATGCGATTGGTCTGTGAGTTTCCTGGGCTGCTAAACCAGGACTGTAAATGCTAGAAAAGCTGCGCAAGTTAAAATAGAAATGCTCCGTCACGAGGTAGTAAGTCTCAGTGATAGATCG